ATTTTTCTTCTTCTTTATCGCATATGCTCTTTAACCGAATTTCCTTCCTCCTGATATCTTTAGTAATTTAGGTGTTTTTGTCCCTTATATTGCACTATCACTCACTTTCTGACTCATTTTCCCTTAATAGCTGTTAACCTGAAGGCTGAACCTCAAAGCCAATGTCACATTCTGGCATCCTGCCTCAGTTTCTTCTTCTTCAGATTAAACTCTGTTGCAGTGCAGGGTACTTCCATACTGCAGTCCCAGCCAGAGCAAGTTTGTCTGCCCTTTGTTTTTTTTTTCTTCCATTGCACAGGGAATGAAGGTGGGGAGTGGGGAAGGGCAGAACTGAGTTCTATTGTAAGACCTTGGGTGAGTTGTGCAGAGTATGGAGACTCATGGGGGAAGGGGTGCTGAGTGAGCGACTTAGGGTTTAGAGATTTACTTTCTCTGCTGTTGCAATTACCAATGCAGGTGTGAGACTAAAGGTATATTGTACAACTGTGTATTGGAGATAAGTGTAAGCATTAGGTCCAACCAATTATGGGAGGCCTGGACCCTCAAAAAGGACTGATAATTTTAGAAATGCCTAAAAATTGTGACAATAACACCAAAGAAAGGATTTTAACCACTACTGTGGACTCTTTGGGGGAGTGTAAGGTACTATGGGAGGTATTTGTGAAATAGAAAAATATTGTTGCTTCAATGAGTTAGCTACCTTATACTGTGAAGTCTTCCAAGATTCCCAGAGAGAGTTCCAGATTATGGAATATAGACCAGGGTGCCTCAAAGCACCATGTTATAACTTGTCAGGACAGAGAATTTTTAACTGGAGGGAGAATATAGAAGGTGTGTTCAGAAATTAGCCAGGTTCAACAACAAAGCCTTTGTTCTGGCATTGATGACATTTCCCTGTATAGCTTTATTCATTCCTATTGATACCACTTTTTGAGACTTTGTTATGGCACTGAAGACCTCTCTTGATGGGAAATAAACTCTCCTTGCCCTGTGTCCTCCCAGCTTATTATTTATTTATTTATTTATTTATTACTTAGGTCACCTTCTGTGGTTCTTCACCACTAGAGATAGCCCAACCTACCCTCTTGCCTGAAAGCACTTTTGGTATCAGCTGAATCAGGCTTTCTACTATATTACAAGCTTTGTTCTTCTTCAGCTTGTGACGTTGAACTCCAAATGACCTAGAGCTATTCTGAAGTTATTGATAGCTCGTGTTGATATTTTTATCTTACAATTCAATATTAATACCAGAAACCCTTGATCAAAATATAGCCCTATGCTATGAATATTTCCTCAACATGCCACTGATTGAATGTTTCATTCATTCATTCAACACATCTTTTCTTGAGCAACTGCTATGTGAGAGACACTATAATCTCCATAAATCTTGTAAATAATTACATTTGGAATGTGAAAGAGAAAATGTAAACATTTTATTTGGCAGTTGTTTCTGAACACATGAATAAATAAACAGAAAAGTACATATTAATATTTCTTCTCATAATAACAGATGCCATTGCACACATATTTACACATTGTCAAGGCAAAGACCAGTTAAACAATTTAAATCTGTCATGTAAAAGGTAACTTCCAACACCACTAGACCTGACAGTTAAAGATGAAGATACTGGTAATGCTTGGCTCTAGCAATCTCGACTTTTGAAAGGCATTCATTTGGAAGTATGATTAGAAGAGTCATCATGCACTTAGCTCATCCTGTCCACTTAACTGGAGAGAGTTTTTGACTGCAGCCACAGAGTTGAATGTGTCATGCGCTTAAATCAACTATGACATGTGTATAGATCTGTGTACGTCCCTTAAAACTGGAAGCAAAGAGAAAATTATGCTTATTAATAGACACGTGAGTGAAAGATCTTGGTGCCTGTATATTTAACTCTTGAAATTTCACAAATTTTGCTTTCTCTGCATCCCAGTTATACACTTGAGTAAAGGAATAATCACTTCCAAGAATTGCATATTGGTAATTATTTATCTGAAGAGGTTGGAACACCATGGATCCTCGGGATGGCATCCTTTGTACATCCACAAATGATGATCCTCCCCATTTCATCACTTTGGAATCACCAATGAATCTTGTCAGGCAGATATATACATCACCTTTGACTGTGAAATGCTTTACTGCATACACATCTTCCATGTTAGGGATGTCAGTTTGATTAGTAAATAATTTTGTGCTTTTGTTCCATTGGTAGATTACAGGACGTTGGGAACTACTGGATAGAATTAAGTGAGGTGTTCTGACCGTCTGAGGCGTCCTGGCTATTTCCAGGTATTCCACATCAGTATCTCTGTACCACTGGTGTAATGATTGATGGGAGTAAAATCCATTTCCATTCCACTTGTAAACAGTAGTGAAACCAGCTTTTGAACTGTCAGCAACCACAAAGTACCAGTTGTTCTCAATCTTGAATGTTTCAATGTCATTTGGTTTTCGGATTTTGAGAATTTCAATATCCTGAATTTTTATGAATTTGTTTGCGAAACTGTCTCTCTTATAAATGTGAGACCCTCCAAACAGCTGGGCCACAATAACATAGAGCTGAGTTTCAATGACTATAGGCTTGCATACTACGGTAGATGTTCCTGGGGAAAAGATAAATAAAGGATTAGTACCGTCTTTGGAACTAAGTGATAGATGAACTTTGCCTCTACAGCTGTGACCAAATAAGATGAGACTGAGAGATTTAGTTAGTCTTATTTTTCATGGTCCATCTCTATAGCACTACAGCAGTGTGATCTAGAAGCTCTCAGTCCTGCCATACAAAGGACCCTTTTGTTAACAAACAAATCTTTCCATCACATCCAGTTTGTACAAACATAGATAGGGTGGGAGCTTTAGTCTTTCACATTTTGAAGAAGGAGAATGGCTAAAGGCTACATATTCTAAGGAGTACCTATCTTCCCATTGCTGTCTTTTTATTCATTTATTGATTGATGGATTTTTATTTCAATTTATTTTAAATTTATTTATTCATTCATTTTAACTCATGTTGAGATATGAGAGTTCAGCTGTCACTCCCATAACCTATCATTCAATTTAAGTGCCTAAGACAGGAGTGACCTTAGGGTCTCCATGGCTTCCAGAGCCAACCTGAAAGTTTGAGTTGTCAAATAGTGGACCTGCTTAGGATGCTCAGAATCATAGCAAAGTGTCCACTCAAGGCTTAGTCTTGTCTCCTGGACTATAACCGTAATTTCCAAGCTTTTTGTGAGGAAGAAGTTTTCATTTATCTAAAATTGAACCTCCTGGTTCAATCTCAGTACACAGAATTCTGTACTTCATGGACTGTTCTACAGCTGCATACATCTGCAGTTTGGGGAGAAATCTAATCAGGAAGGCCACATGTGGCCTTCTAGATCCTTGGGTGCAGCCTTCTGACTCAATCCAAGTTTTACAGAAAAATATCTGTGAAGTTTTTTACAGAAGGAAAAGGGCTGCACGTTAGAACCTAGAGGGGCGCATGTGGCCTCAAGGCCACAGGTTCCCACCCCTGTGTTAGAGGGTCATGAAGTCAATTTCCATCAAAAAAAAGTGAAGGACCCTGAGAGAAATGTCCAAGTTAAAGGAAGATCTCTTAATGGCACTACCCACAAAGAACTACCCTGATCCCCTAGGACAGTCCCATAGTCTCTCAAAGCCACATGGGGATTTGGGGATGAGAAGCAAGCCAACTGATTTGGGGAGTAGTATGCCCATGATGGTGCAACTTGCTATAGGTGGCTGGTTCCAGGGAGGTCTGGATACCCCTTGGAAGCAGAGAAAAAGAAAACAGAACACTTGGAAGAGTATTTAAGCACATTAAATACATTTCAGGAGAATCACCAGAAAAGCTGTTAAGTATCTGCAAGGCAGCACTGTTAGAGGTTTAACAGTTGTTTTCCCCTCCATACTCACAATAAAATGCAATGCAAGCTTCCTGATGGCAAATACTATTTAAATTTCTTCCTTTGCATCCCCAACTCTTAGCATAGTGCCTGGCACAAAGTACTTAAAAAAATATGCATTGACCTAAATTGAATTGAATTGGGCTCAGGCATCTAAATATGCCATTCCAAATATGGGAAAACTTTACATACCTGTAATGTTGTCATAATTCCTGAAGGTTTTTTCTACATGGTCCCATTCAAGAAAAATGCATTTGCCAGTAAAAGGCTGAGCAATAACTACATACTCATCATTCATATAAGTAAAAGTGTCTATAGACAGGGACTGGTAGGGCAGGAGTTGAGATGCTGCAAATTCTGCAAAAATATATGAACAGAGTTATAAGTAAAGGCCTGGGAAAAACATTTTCCTTAAGTTATTAATTCTGCAGAACAAAGAAACACAAGTGGGAATATATTCATTTATTTTAAAGGAACACATTTAAGAAGTAATCTTATTTTTTCCTTAAATTAAATGGAGAACATTGGGCTTCAATTCAGGAGCAAAGAATTTCAGTCCCAATTCTACTACTAATGAACTGTGTGACCTTCAGCCAGTCATTTAAATCTTTGAGCTGCAGGTTCTTCATCTACAAAAAAAGGGAAGACAGTAGTTGTTCTACCTGACTCCCAGAATTATAATGAGAATCAAATGAATGTTAAAACACCTTATAAGTATAAAATCCCTATAGAAACATCAACTATCATTATTCTTGATTTTAAAATATTAAATTTTTAAAAAATTTAAAAAATAAATTTGCTTATTCAGCTTTCACATTTGGGGAAAATCAACCTTGTACATGTAAAAAATGCAGCCCTGGTATTTATCTGATGAGGTGTGATGATTTTGAATACATTACCTGTAATAATGCAATCAAAATCCTTCGAGGAGAGGCTACGGATTTTGCGCTTCTTATATTCTGGTGGGTTTTCGCAGTAGATTTCTTCAACTGTTGCGTTGGTGGTGTCTAGCCATTCCACTAACCATTTCAGTTTGCAGTCACAATTAAACGAATTCCCTCTTAGGTCCCTGAAAAACAAACTTCAGCTGCTGTTGCTGTACCAGGACACTACCTCTTTGGGGATTAATTATATAATTAATTATACTTCCACAGGGGACTTGTACAGGGCATCTCTATCCTGGTTTAGCTCTTTCACTTTCACTTGGACCAGGAGGCAGTGAATAGAGGTCTGGCCTTGGATTCAGGAGCACCTGGATTCAGGCCCCACCTCTGATACATTCTGACTCTAGGCAAGTCACTTAGCCTCTCACTGACTCTAAGAAACTCTCCAAGACTGCAAGTTACAGCCCAGTTACCAATCTACCTACATTAATAGTGGGATTTTCCTTACCAGAAACTCCTTAGACGGATAAAATCACAGATTCAGAAACAAATACCCCAAATTAACCTGGGTTTCACTCAGTCTCTTTGGGCTTGATTCTCCCCTTCTGGGCTCAGAAGGATGCAAGGATGTAACCTCTTGAGTCATAGTTTTGGGGAGCACAGCCTTTCTCCTTGATTCTCTAAGGTACGCTCCCCCCATTACATGGTTAGAGAATATAATGAATATGGTAACACATTGTTACGTGAATTATTTGTTATTCTTTTTTCTTTGTTTTCTTTGGTCTGATAGGTATATATATTCAATCATGTCATGAGACAATGTAGTCTAATGCCCTTGTTTTTGAATGGGAATTTCCTTCCACACAATTGGACTGCTAATGCAGCTATAGTATAACTCAAGTATAGCTATATAGTATAACTCAAGTTCTTTTCAACTATATAACAGAACCATATGTATATGTATATATATATATGTATATATTCTCAGTCATCTGGATCTATGGTATATCTGGTCCACTTTTTGGCTCAGAGATCCCTTTTCAGTATCTATCCTTCATAGCTAAGCTCAAATTCCACTTTTTTTGCAAGGCCTCAACTGATTAGCCCAGCTGAAAGTGATCTCTCCTTCCTCAGATCACCCATAACATGTTGTCAATAGCCCTCATAGGGCACTGCCTCATGTTCTAGTTATTTGTGTTTATGTCTTGTCTCTCTTGCTCAGCTTTAGGATACTGGAGGGTAAGAAATGTGTCTTACTCATTTTTTTACCTCCACAGTCCTAGTCCATTAACTTTTTTTTCTGTCATGGACCCCGTGGACCCCTTTGGCAGTCTGGTGAAGCTTATGGACTCTTTCTCAAAATAGTGTTTTTAAATGCATAAAATACATAGGATTACAAAGGAAACCAATTAATATTGAAATATAATTTTCAAAATATTAAGAAAAATAACTTCTTAAGAACTCTTGTCCTGCTCCCATGTCTTATCATGGGTACTTAAAGGCTGTGACATTAGATTGCAAGCTCTGGAAGGTCCCACCAATCTTCCAAGATATTTAGTCCAGATCCAGCAACAGATTATATTGCAATCTGTCTTCCGAGGACCACCCAAGCTAAGCTCGGAAAGGTTCATCAGACCACCAGAGGATGATTTTTCAAAAACAGTCACTCATGAATACATGAAGAAGTTACGAGCTATGTTGGGGAGGGAATATCCACAATGATGAGGTGGTGGGTCTTTAAAGAATCCCTGGCAATGTTCTGCATGTTAAATAACTGTTTGAGGGAAGGAAAAAGGGAGGTGGAGCTGAGGCTGAGGTCAAGATGGGAGTGTGGGGCTGGGGCTAAAATGGACGTAGGTATATATCTATATGTGAAAAAGGGAAACAAGATAAACAGTGTTATACAGTGGAAACAGCACTGGACTTGAGGTTAGGAAGACCTGATTTTGAATCCCACCTTATGACAATTGCTAGCTATATGATGCTGGGCAAGTTTTTTAACTGCTCTGAACTGTTTCCTTATCTTTAAAGTGATGGGGTTAGAATTCAATTAGAATTCAATGATCTCTAAGCTCTGAAGCTATGATCCCATGATCCTGGGACTAGAGATGAAGCAGACAGCAGGGCCAGGTCAAGGTGGGGTACAAGATTGGACTTCCAAACTCTCTGAATGTTTAGCTATATGTTCTGATGACTCCCATTGCTGATTAATATGGCTAGATCAGGTTCAGATTGCAGGTTAAAATATGATCCTTGACTTTGGACCATATTTCTTTACTTTTTGCTGTATGTAATCAGACAGTTTCCAAATCATTTGGAATTCTGAGGTACTGTATAAAATAGTGCCTTCCCATAGAATTTAGAATGCTACTCACAATAGTCTTCATTATTATAGTATGATAATTTACACATTATTCTGACAGAATCAAAGTGTTAGAGTAGTAGGAAGAAGTTCAGATGAGCTTCCACCCCCCCAAAAAACAACTCTTCTGTAAAAACTATTTCTTAGCTGGTAACATGAAAACCAGATATACTGGTTTGGAGAATTGATCATAATCAGGCTAGCTTTGGTCAGTTCTGATCCAGAGGAGTCTTAGAAGACTGGGTCAGTTTTTCTGATGCTTTAGTACTTAGGAACTAAACAAGGTACTCTGCTACCTCTTTATTGCAGCTGGTACCCAGTGAAGCAAATATTCCCAGTACCTTCCCCTGCCCCCTAAGACTAATTCAAGCCTTGGGCTAGTCCCAGAGATATAAACCTAAATTATAGGGACTCTGTGAGACCTAAATCATTACTGAGACATTCCTGGGAAGCCAACTTGATTTCAAACTTTCTCTGGGGTCTATTCCAGGGTTAGATAGGATGTTCAGACTCATCTGGACCCCCAGGTCCAGCCAAGTGGAGCAATTTCCAACTATTAAGCCATCTCCGAAAACAACAGAGTCATCTGAGAATTCTGTGGTTCAGGGGATCAATATAGACCAGAATAAATTACCATATGCTTGGACCAAAATCCTAGAGATGATTTAGGACTGAATCAGACCTAAAGGTAGGAATAGTAGAAAGGGATTAATGTGGGCCTTATCACTGGTTTGCTGGTGCAGTATTAGTAAGCCCAGAACGAAATGCTTTACCTCTATACTTGGTGAAGTAAAAATTGCTTTAATATTCTAAAGGTCCTGAGTAATCTCAAATCATAGCACCATAGGATTTGCAAATGGATTATTATGGTCTCAGATACTGTTATGCTTGTTTTAATATTATATTTTACTTATATTGTAGAAATCAAACACAAAATGGAGTATTATATTTTTATTGAATTCCAGACCTACAGAAGCTATACCTCTTGCTATTATGTTATTTTTTAAAAAATTCTATCCTCTTAGTGTAAAAACTTCTCATTCTGAAGTTTTATTTTGTTTTTAAAAGACTTCTCATTGGGAAAGGGTCCAGCAGAGAATTCCCTTCCTGGAGCTTAAGTCAGATTCCTGAGGATGAAGCCTAAAGATTTTTTTCCCAATCAGGAAGTTACTTTCTCTGCACCTCTCTCCAACTATTTTTATGTCAAATAACTGATGATATTAGCTGTTCATCATTAAGATATCAGTTTCTCAGAATCCCTTAAGTTTTTCTCTGTCCACCTTCCTGGGTCTCTCAAGAGGGGAAAAAAACAATCTTTATGTATTAGGCCAGTTTTGTTCTCTCCTCTGTAAGTTTACTAGATTAGAAGAATGTTTTTATGTTGTGTATTCGGAGTTACTAATGGCAATGAGGAACAATAAGATTGTGGAATATTTCTTAACACTGCAGTACAACATAAATACAATTATCTAAACCATCGGTAGCTAGTTTTCTCATTATTGTTTGGAAATTAATACTTGCTGATGTCTTACACATTTGTTAAAGAGTCCAGGCCTTTGAAAATATCTTTGGGGAGTGTTTGGAGATTGTTGTTTGCAAGACTCCTGGAGGAAAAAAGAAAAAAAAATTTCTAATCAGTCTGAATAAGTGTGATATTCAAATGACATATCATTACAAAGATGAAATGCTATGAATGCAAAAGGTCTGTTATGCTTGTTATCACATCATTATCATATCAATTCTTTCCATTATTCATACACTAACTTGCAACATTTTTGTCCTGCTAAGATACTATCTACTATTGCATCTTCAATCCCTACCCTCTTTATTTCACCACACACTCACCATTTCTAGCACTTATATAAGATGGTAGAAAATGATTATTGGATGTGATCATCCTATAGAAAAAAGAATAGTAATAATAACAATAACAATGATAGCTAGCATTTATATAGCACTTTAAGTTTTGCAAAGCACTTTATAAACATCTCACTTGATCTTACAACATCACTGGAAGATGGGGGTCTATTATTGCCCCCATTTTACAGATTAGGAAACTGAGGCAGATAGCAGCTGTGACTTTGCTGAGGGTCACACAACTACTAAATATCTGAAGCTGGATTTGAATTCAGGTCTTCCTAAGTCCAGGTCCAGCACTCTATTCACCATGTCATCTCAAATATGATACAGATGTAAATATAATAGTGTATCCCTGGAACAAATTCCATGATCTCATTCTGAGATTCTTGAATGTTTTCTAGTATAGCTCTTCCCCAAGTTATAAAAACCTACTTTTTGAGCAATCCTATGTAGACTACCTTGTCTCCCTATGTAGAAACTATACTCTGGAAACTAATGGTACTACCTGTTGACCAGTACAGGAAATTATCTAACCTAAAATCTCTTTCATACTACTTTTATTCTTTAAAAATTTTTAAAAATTAAATTTTATATTTAAAATTTTCAATTATTACTTTTTCCTCCCCACCTCTCTCCACCCCTACTAGAGAAAAAATAATAACCTGGTAATAAAATTAATATCATCAAAGCAAATTCTCATACTGGCCCAAGCAAACGTGTGCCTCATTCTGCATGTTGGTCCATCACTTCTCTGTCAGGAGGACACCACCTCCTTTCTTCTTCCTTGAGGCTTCTGAATAGCCTACATATGATGATCCCTCTTCTTCTTCTTTTTATGACTCAGGATTCAGTTAATTATATCAGGCAATTTCTTCTCACACTTCTTGAACCCATTTCTTCCTTATCTTATCCTACGGAAAAATATCTGCTTCCTTTTCTTTCCAATTTTGACCCCATTCCCTGCCCTCATCATGGCTGGTAAGTATAGAATGTTCGTGAGACGTCTGTATCAAGGCAAATAAAGTGATCAATTCTGAAGAGAAACTGGACAAGACAAAGAACTAATGCTTGCCAACCTTGAAAATGCTCTGATGTTCCCTTCAGATTTTCCATTTAAAATCCTATTTCCTTGTCCTCTTCTAAGTAAAACTCTTTTTCTGTCAAGTATCAACATACAAATAAATAAATAAAATTATTGCTTACTCAGTCTCACTGTTTCATTTTAGTTACAACACTATTGTTTTCTATGACTTTTTTTCAGTAGGCTTTTGTAGTCTAGCTTGAGAACCTATCTACCCTTTATAGCATTGCTTTTAAGAGAAAATATGCTCTGAGCTCCAAACAACTAATTTATAGACAAACTGGGGACACAACCCATTTGTAAGATGGAGATTGACTGCATTTGTGAAAGTAATGCTGTACCACCCACCCATTCTAAAAACCATCAGCCCCAACAAATTGTCATGTCTTTAGCAGGCATTGACGAAATGCCTACTAAATGAATAAATGAATGAAGGTTTTTCTATAACCCAGAAAAGTATTGTCTTTGAAAAGAATCCTTTTCTTAATATGCATGCATGCTTTGGAATAAACAGATTTTCGTGGAGTTTTGATCAAAGGTGGTGGCTTTAGCTATCATCCATTGCTGTTTAGAAATTGCTTTCTTCACAGAACTCTGTGTGAAGGCAATGAGAGCTATCTAGCTGAAGAAAAGTCAGAGAAGGCAGGAAGAAAATGGACCTAGATATACATGGTCTGATATGGACAGCAGGTATGTGCCTATAGAGCATTGAGTGTAGAAAGTTTGAAAAAACTCTGATAAACATGAACTCCTTTCCCCCCATCACCGTTGTCTTCTTTAGCATTAAAACCCTACAGCCTGACCCTGGACCTTCTTCTCCTCAGCTGCCTTAGATTTTGTTCACTTTGGTTTGGACCTTTTTTCACTCTGGAAACTTTTTGCCTCTGGCCCTTCAGCTCCACAACCTATATCCTGGTTAATACTTTTGGGTTTTCTCCATGATGCTTATTTCTGATCCCCTACCTTACGTGAGAATTTCCTGTTGCAGCCGACACTTCCCAAGTATTAGTTTGTGATTGCTTCTGTCCCTGAGTGGGGTTGGAGGAATGGTACAGATAGTAAAGTAATTTATTGGGTTCTCTCCAATCAGGGCTCACCAAGAAATCCCAACTGGTGACATTAAGGCTAGTTGGAGTAGGCTGGTTGTGAGCATTCTTTGCATAGGTTCAAACCCTCACACTCTGGGAAATCTCAAGGTAAGAAGTCAGTCTAGGCTTAAAGGGAGCAATGTGAGAATCGTCTGGACTGGTATAGATTCATAGTCTTACAAAAATACTAAGAACTATAAAAGATATTCTAAGTGTTGAGATTCAGGATTGAGAATCAGCAAGGACATCATGCTGCTATGGGCATCATGCTGCACTAATGGGGGGCATGAGCCCCTACTGTGACGTTTTGGTACTCCTGAGATTGAATAGTTTTTGCTCCTCCAGCAAAAATTGTGAATGAAAGAAGATCTAACCACTGGCTTGAGCTCACTTGAGACACTTGATATTTGAAAGAGTCTAATGGATATGTTATCTTATCTACTCATCTGGATTTTCCAAGTTCCATCTCAGTCAGGCCATTAGAAAGTCAAATACTCAAACTGCATTATCTCAGCTCCTTGAAGAAATACCTTCACTAAGTTGTCATTTAATGTTCTGCCCTTGGCTCTTCTAGGTGGTTGGGTCAATATGAGTCTCTTGCTGCTGAACAGCATTTCTTCAGCTTTTGTGAAACTGTGGTTGAGAACATCATTATGCTACTTATTCAGTATCCTTTGTTCTAAGATTCATTCCTCCTCTTAAAAAAATGTTTGCCTCTGAAGATGAATTTTCACGCTTTCTGTTGTCAGAAAGCAAAAATGATATAACTCAATGTTTCTCCTTTTGCCTTAGCTGCCAGAAAACTTTGTGCCAAATTCATTATTCTGGTGTTATTAACATTCTGCTAAATGAAGGTGCTTGAAGACATCTATCCCTTCTGCTTCCTTTCTACACTAGTTTTAAATGCCTTATCCTGTGCTGTATTTAAGATGGTAAGCAGCTTCAAGCCGTTTTGGCTGTAGGTAAATACTTCTGAATACTTCTCTACTTTTTTATTAAATACATTTTTTTAAAAATGATCTGCACTTAGGAATAACTTAGGCACTTGTGGCAGCTGCACTAATGGTTTCAGCTCATGAAATTACCATTAATAAATAATCATTGCAGTACATTAAGCAGTATCCTAGCAACCCAAGACAGTTAACATAGCTTCCAAAGGTATCTAACCAGTACATTAAACAGTATCCTAGCAACCTAAGACAGTTAATGTAGCTTCTAAAGGTGTCTAACTCTCTGGCAGGGAGGAATTTACATATTGCAAGATTTCAACTCAAAGAATTTAAATCAACAAGTAATATAGATTAGCCTCTAAAGTGCTTGGCTGGAGGTTAGATTTGTAGAACATACAAAGAAGCGCCAGACAAGCCATATACATATAAAGAATTAAATAATTAATACCAAGCAGGATTTGATTAAGTTCCAAATGAACAGTACCCAAAAAAATGGAGTTCTGTAATTCTGTGAATCTCACACTGAGGGAGTCATTCTTTTTTTTTTTTTTCTTCAATTAAAGTCAAATACCATAGGGAGAGGTGATACTATAAAACTTATTTTCAGGGAAAGAATTTTGATAGTCAGGTTTGTATTGGGAGGAGGGGAGACAATACTAGGGCTCCTAGTTGTTTGAGATAGGGGGAAATGAGGAAAACGCCCTATTGAGAGGTAGAAAATAATGGTTGCTAAAGCTAAAGTTTGCTAATTTCATAATTTTGTTAATTTTTTCCCCTGAACTTAACAAACACCAGATGTAATGGGCATTTCCAAAAACATAGTTCAGAAAAAGGTGTGAACATGAAAATATGAGTATTACGTACCACTTGCTTTTTTTTTAGAATATGTAAGAAATTGAACATGTAACTTTCTCTTTTTCTGTTAAAATTAATTTAGTATTCTGTTTCCCCCAAATTACATGTAGAAACAATTTTTAATATTCATTTTTAGAACTTTGAACTTCAAATTCTCTCCCTTCCTCCCTCCCTCCCTCATTGAGAAGGCAAGCAATTTGATATAGGTTATACATGTGTAGTCACACAAAATATATTTCCATATTAGTTATGTTGTGAAAGAAAACATAGACCAAAAAACCCCCCAAAATAAAGAAAGTTTTAAAAAAGTATGCTTCAATCTGTATTCAGACACCATCAGTTCTTTGTCTGGGGTTGGATAGCATTTTTCATCATAAGTCCTTCAGAGTTGTCTTTGATCATGGTATTGCTGAGAATAGCTAAGTCATTTGCAGCTAATCATCTTACAATATTGCTGTTATTTTGTACACAGCACATTTCACCTTGCATCAGCTCATGCAAGTCCTTCTAGGTTTTTCTGAGTGCATCCTGCTCATCATTTCTTATAGCACAATAGTATTCTATCACAATCACACAGCACACATTCCACAACTGATGAACATCCTCCCAATTTCCAGCTCCCTGCCACCAGAAAAGAGCTGTTATAAATATTTCCATATGTGTAGATCCTTTTTCCTTTTTTTTTTAATCTCTTTTTGGACACAGTAGTGGCACTGCTAGGTCAAAGGGTATTCATGGTTTTATAGTCCTTTGGGCATAGTTCCAAATTG